GGGAGAGGGAGAGGGAGAGGGAGAGAGGGAGAGGGAGAGGGAGAGGGAGAGAAGAGAGAGATTGATCATAGTTACATATTTTCAGAGTGTTTTGAGTTAGGAATCTGTCACAGACTTATGTCAAAATGGAACTGAATTATTATTAGTGTTAGATTGGAATTGTTGGTGAAAGTATTCTGTCTTGGGGACATATGCTATCTGGAAGTTATTTTCTTTTCCTGATGTATCTTTTAAGAATGGCACTTAACCATGTTCAGTATAAGCCCATTATATTTAAAAATGGATTTTGCTCCCTGCCTGCTTAGATTGGATTCATCTGTCTATCTTCCACAGCCTCTCTAATAATGAAAGTTAATGTTCCCAGCTGATTAGTATTCAGGCTGCTTGTTTGTTTATATTACTTTGGAGTCTCCTTAGCTAAATTTTGGTAGTTTTTTTTCCACAATCCCTCAAATTTGGAGAAAAATTCTGTTTGTGCCTTATGATAGATTAAAATGCAAGTTTCTTTTGAAGTGAAATAGTTTTTAGTCAAGTTCTTGCCTCTCTTTATCTCTTAAATTTATTTATTTTTTGGGTACTGGTATTTTACCTGCAAGTAAATATACACACCCGTGTATACCTACTGTCCTTAGAGTTCAGAGAAGAGTGTGTGCCTCCCCTGGAACTGGAGCTAGGGATGGCTGTGGACCACCATGTATGTGGGTGCTGAGAACCAAACTTGGGTCCTCTGGAAGAGCTCAGGTGCACTTAACTGCTGAGCCAGTCCAAGTTCTTGCCTCTCAAGACTCCTCTCTACTGCAGTGGAACTAATTTCCAGTGTAAGGGTGACTGGGGAGTCTCCATTAAAAAGTCCCTGTTAAGTTGGCTTTCCACAGAAAAATAGCAGTTTTACTTGTTCAAGAGTTGTATGTGCGTGGGGTTGGGAAGCTGATGTTCATTTTGACTTAGTCTCCACTGATTCTTTTTCCTAGCGGGGCATGCTGGCAAACGCCTATAATCCCAGTTCTTGGGAGGCAGAAGCAGAAAGAAGTAGGTGTGTCTTGGCGAGCTCAAGGCCACACTTGTCTGCATAGTACATTCTAGGCCAGGCAGAGCTATATAGTGAATCCCAGTTTTAGAAAAACCAAACCAAAACAAATAATTTTCTTTTTTCTTGTTCTTGAAAATTAAAACATAATGTGGCCAATTTCAAACATCTGCTCCTCTGATTGTCTATATATCCGGAATGTGTAAGCTTGGCTGTAATTTTCCTAGGTCTTTAAGGTTCTTCTGTGGATTGTGATTGAGAATTGTAGGTGTGAGGTTTGCTGTGTATGAAAGCAACTTTCTTAGTGGACTTAGTCTTATTCAAGGAAGAGCGTCTCACTAGGTTTTAGACTAGTTGATTTGGTAAGTTTTTTCCTTTTACATTCTTACGTTGGAAGAGCCCAAGTTCTTCTGGCTATTTCTAACTTTTTAATTTGACTGGGATACTCTGGCCTCTGCACCCACTTTCTCTTTTTATTTTGCTGTATCCTTTGTCAGGGGGCCTCATTGATAGCCGTAGCTCTAGTAGACCTCATTGATAGCCCTAGCTCTAGTAGACCTCATTGATAGCCCTAGCTCTAGTAGACCTCATTGACAGCCCTAGCTCTAGTAGACCTCATTGATAGCCGTAGCTCTAGTAGACCTCATTGATAGCCCTAGCTCTAGTAGGCCTCATTGATAGCCCTAGCTCTAGTAGACCTCATTGATAGCTGTAGCTCTAGTAGACCTCATTGATAGCTCTAGCTCTAGTAGACCTCATTGATAGCCGTAGCTCTAGTAGACCTCATTGACAGCCCTAGCTCTAGTAGACCTCATTGACAGCCCTAGCTCTAGTAGGCCTCATTGATAGCCGTAGCTCAGATTACTTGACTCTGGATTTTCTTCATTGATATACTCTCCCCTGGTCCTTAATTGTACACTTTTGAGACATGTTCCAGGGAGGCCAGTTTTTACAGCATGACTTTGGAGGGGTAAACGACTTTTTTGGAGTCCTGGGGAGTCTGCAGTCTCACATACCAGTTTCCCAAGTGTGTGTGTGGGGTTCACTTTTTCTTCCATCTTCTTGGCAGTCACCTTCTATTACTTAGATTCCTTTTGTTGTTTGTTCTTTGAGACAGTGTTTCACTTGTAGTCAAGGTTGGTTTTGAACTCAGGTTGGTTTTGAACTCATCATTTTCTTGTCTTGTTCTGAGTACATTATCATGTCTGGCTTCTTTGTATTCTTTAGCAAAATTTTATTATACTAGACCTTGAGTAAGCAGAGAAAGCTAGACACCAGAGTATACTAGAAAGTCTGATTTGGTTGGGGGAGGGTTCGAGACAGATTTTCTCTGTGTAACAGCCCTAGCTGTCCTGTAATTCACTCTCTAGACCAGGCTGGCCTCAAACTCACAGAGATCCACCTGCCTCTGCCTCCCTGAGTGCTAGGATTAAAGGTGTGCATCACCACCACCTAGCAAATGTCTTTATTTTAAAGATAGACTGATAGGTAGAAACTAGTCACAGGGCTTACTGTCTAGTGTCCTTCCAAAAGTACTCAACATGGCTGACTGAAAAACTGACAGGGCTCATTCATTAATTAATTTCATTATTTAACCAAGGCCATTTCTGCTTACCAGCTTTTGTATTCATCTCTGTGCATAGAATCAGTGACATACAGTGCTGATAGAATCTGAATAATGTACATGAAAGGGTTGATTCTCCTCCCCCAAGCTTCAGCTAGTTCAGGTGGAGCTAAATTGGCTGTAGTAACTAATTAGTAACTCTTGCAGCTATTAGGAAGGGCCTCAGGAATCTGCAGATCAACCCCTTTGGGAGCAAGCCAGCACTGTTTTTCTTGACTTGTCCTATGAAAAATATTAATTTGACTTGGAGTTCTACATCAGGCATCTTTGTTATGACCTCTGTTAAGGGAACCTGTGGGTACAGTGTTAATTGTTTTGTTCACAGAGGAATCCCAAGCATGTACCTGTTTTTCCTAGGTCTTCCATGCCTAGTGTCTATTACATACTTTATTCACTACAGGTGAGAAATGAGCTAGCTTCCTGTGGTGTCGTGGTCAGTCTTTAGAAGATTAAAGCTCTTAGAAGTAGAAGGACACCTATAGGTTATGGCCCTTTCAAGCCTTGTGAGATCTTGAGGAATAAAAGAACACTTCCCTTATCTAATAATAACCAAAAACTTAGTCTTAAACAGAACAGATTGTTTAGGTGAGTGGTAGACTCAGCACTGAAAAATAAATTCAGGGACTGTTTCCTTAATTATGTTCTAAAGATTAAAACATTTCATATAGTCTGGGGTGGAGCTTAATGGGAGAGTACTTGCCTAGCCCAGCAAAATTCTCTCTCTCTCTTAATATGTTTTCCAATACATTTCTACCCAATGTTACATCGTGTGAATGTTTTAGAATTCCTAGCTTTTTTGTTGGTCAGTTCTTGAGAAAGAAACAAGCTCTTTTGCTAGTTCTGATGTGTGTTAAAGCTTAGGGACCTTTGTTGTGGTATGCATTCTGGATTCAGTCTTTCAGTGATACAGTAGTGAGCAAGGTAGAATGGGTCACCGCCTTTTTCTCCCCCAGAAAAGGTGGTTTGAAAATTTTACTCATATTCTTCATATATATTTGTTACCAGAGTTAAACTAGGAATACATGTTATGTAACTCAGACAGAAAGAGTAACAAAAACCAAAATTTAAATTGAGCTTAAATATTTCTCTTTTAGCATAATATCTAAAATTCATATGTTCTGTGTTTCAGAAAATGAATTTGGAATTTGTTTTTTGAGATTGTTTACCTTATGAATTCTTAAAGAAAAAACATATTTTGTTTTGCTTTTGATCATAGAGAAAAATGGAAACAGGACCCCTCAGAAGATGAACATGAGCAAGGCACCAGTGCAGAGAGTGACCCAGAACAAAAGAGAGTAACAGCTAGGAGACCTGTCCCCAGAAGGTACGCTGCTAGCCTGCCCACTCTTGGCTTCTAGCTGAGCTCACCGTGGCCTACATGGGAAGGGATAGTTCGCTGGAGCCAGAGCCTAAACAACACAAAGTGTCCCATTGCAGGAGTTGAGTATCTGGTTCTCTTTGTGCCAGCCTTTGTCTTGACCAAGTGTTCAAGTGACTGGACTATTGAGATCACTTTTTGAGTGTTTGCAGGGATGCAGTTCTAACTGGAGATACTTTTTTCCTCTTCACGTCCTGTGGGGTTTAAAGTAAATTATTTTATTGTTAGCATATGTTAAATATATATAGTAATGGATTTCTCCATTGCATTTTCATATATGCATATTATGGGCTCTGATCATATTCTCTGACAGTGGATCTTTGGCTTTTTTTCTTTTTCTTTTTTTTTTTTTTTAAAGATTTATTTATTTATTATGTATACAGTGTTCTGCCTGCACATATGTCTGTAGGCCAGAAGAGGGCACCAGATCTCATTACAGATGGTTGTGAGCCACCATGTGGTTGCTGGGAATTGAACTCAGGACCTTTGGAAGAGCAATCAGTGCTCTTAACCTTTGAGCCATCTCTCCAGCCCTGGCTTTTTTTCATAGCAGCCTATTTAGGGTGTGTGGGATATGCAACCATATCTTCTGCTTTAAAATAGAAACAACAACAACAAAACCCTGATAAAAATGAAAAACCCTTCTTTTTTGAGGTCGTATTATAGATTGTTTTTGGGAGAACTAATTCTTTGCTTGTTTTATTTATTTATTTATTATTTGTTTGTTTGTTTGCTTTCTGCCATAGGTTCTCTTTATTTAGTTCTGGCTGTCCTGGAACTCTCTATGTAGACCAGGCTGCCTCTGCCTTCTAAGTGGGATTCAAGATGTGTACCATAATGTCTGGCGAGAACTAATTCTTAAGATGAAAATACTCTTTTGACTGATCCAAACCATATTTATTGCTTATTACTCTTTGTAATATTCATAACTTTAAGCAGAAAGTATAACTGTATAGAGATGGGCATAGGTGTAGAAGGCAACAAGCTTTAATAATTTTTGATGAAACATGGCAGGTAATGATAGACATAAGAAGGCAGAAGAAATTTACTGTGAGACTCAAGAGTAATTCAGAAGTGAAAATACCATCCAGATGTTGTTCTGAAACATCAGAAAAATAGCCACTAGGACAGGACGTGACCTTAATTGAAGCAGGTTCAAATGAGCTGTGGTTAACTCTCTTTCTCCACTGGGCTCAACATCATTTTTTCTCAAGGATGGCTAGATTCTGAAGACTACCTTAGCATACAGGCTTGTATTCTTTTTTGTTTTTTGAGACAAGGTCTCACTGTGTAGTTCTGGTCTTCCAGGCTTAAACTTAAACTCAAGAAAATTTAACCTCTTATTTATTTATTTATTTATTTATTTATTTATTTATTTATTTATTTATTTATTCATGTGTGTATGCATATGTATGTGTGTTTTTGTATTCGTGTGTGTGTGTGTGTGTGTGTGTGTGTGTGTGTGTGTGTGTGGTACATGCATGTGTGTGTATGGTGGTAGGCCAGAGGTCAGCTTTGGGTGTTGTTACCCAGCTGTCCACCTTCTTTTTTGAGACAGGAACTCTTACAGGGACCTGGGTCATTGATTAGTTCAGCCTGGCTGGTAAGCCCAACCCCAAAGCCTCCTTGAGGCTGGGCTTACAAGTACATGCCACCGTGTGTGGCTTTTTATGTAGATCGTGAGGATTGAGCATGTCATCATGCTTGTGTGGCCAGCACTTGACAGACTGAGCCATCTCCCCAGTCTACAAAATAGACCTTCTTTCAGTATTAAGTAGGATGGGTTCAAATTACCCCCAACACTTACTTTTTTAATGGCCAGAGGCTAATAATAATTTTTATTGATGAACATTTATCATTGATAGTTTGATAATAGTACTAAATTTGAATCCTAATTATGTGAAACATTCTCTCCAGAATAATTCTATTCTTATTAATCATATCACCAAAATACACTCTTTGTTTTGAATTTTGTCAATAAAAGTGTTGTGAAGAATATGTCTTCTATTTGCATAAGTACTTATACAATGGCCCAGTCTTGTGCCAACAAAATCTAAAATGTTTCCTCTCTAACCATTTACAGAAAAATTGGCCAATTCCTGGCCTAGGACAAGTACCTGTTCTTACCCCATCACAGAAAGCCTGAGTTTTGCCTCCCCTCTGAGTTTAAGCTCTTAAGATTGAAGTGTCATGCAGGATTTTTACCCAGTGTTTACTGAGTCCTTGATCATTTCTTAGGGTTTGTTAGATCGGTAGGAGAAGCACATCAATGTGATTGTACATTATCCTCCCCCCCCCCCTCTTGGTTTTCTGAGAGTGTCATGTAGTAGAGGTCTACTTGGAACTCCTGATCCTCTCCTGCTGTCACCTCAGGAGTGCTGAGAGAGAGTCCAGGTCTGATCCCGTGCCGGGCTCCCTGTAGTGAGTTCTTTGTATGTGTACCTGCTCTGGGAAATGCCAGTCTGTAGATGTGAAGTAGCTACCAAGCGGCAGTAAAAGCTTGGCTGCTTCTCTCTCTGTTTTTTTAGAACAGTGCCCAAACCTCAAGTTAAAAAGCAACCCAAGACTCAGCGTGGAAAGCGGAAAAAGCAGGAGTCTTCTGATGACGATGACGATGACGATGAAGCTCCCAAAAGGCAGACTCGACGAAGAGCTGCTAAAAATGTGAGGTCAGTTGTGATCCGGAAGGTCTTTGTTGATGTGACAGTAATGACATAGTTGTTTAGAACTTGGCTCTTTCAAGTTTTAGGTAATGTGATTGACAGGTTAAAAAAAAATCAACCTGAACAGGATGCAGTGGTGCAGGCCTTTCATCCCAGCACTTGGGAGGCAGAGGCAGGTGGACCTCTGTGAGTTTGAGGCCAGCCTGGTCTACATAGCTTGTCCCAGAAAGGCCAGAGCTATACAGTGAGACCTTGTCTCAAAAAACAAAAAAGAATACAAGCCTTTTTGCTGAAGTTGCTTCTAGAATCTAGCCACCCTTGAGAAAAAATGATGTTGAGCCCAGTGGAGGAGAGTTAACAACAGCTCATTTGAACCTGCCTCAATCAAGGTCACGTCCTGTCCTAGTGGCTATTTTTCTGATGTTTCAGAACAACGTCTGGATGGTATTTTCACTTCTGAATTACTCTTGAGTCTCATTGTATCTATTGACATTTGGGTGTAATCATATTATGAAACTTTAGTAACAGGATATGAGGCATTAATTGATGGTGAAATAAAGATACAGATATATTCAGATACTTGATGTGTTTAATTTAGAGAATGTGTAGAACATTTACTTTCAGAGCACATGCATGTTTCTCTTGGTCTACTTAGAAACGTGAAGCTGAGCACTAGAGATACTAATTACTTGTTGGATGTTTCCAATTGGTAGTTAATGTAGGAGTAGACTTTTTTTTTTTTTTTTTTTTTTTTTTTTTTTTTGGTTTTCCGAGACAGGGTTTCTCTTGTGTAGCTTTGCGCCTTTCCTGGATCTCACTTGGTA